AGATTTATCTAGACTCTAAAAGGAATTTGAACTTGAGGAATATACCAAGCCTTCAAAAATATTATGGGCTGGTGCCTTTATGTCCTTAACTGTGTGAGGCTTGTTAGGTGCATCGCAACAGGGACGTTAGATCAGGTAGCCAAGATGGTCAAAAGTCGTCATAGTATGGGTATTATTTTGTAAAGCCTTAGAAGAGCAATAGTGATTAATTCTCCATTTCCTTCCTTTCACAGAATACTGCTTCATTTTCAGCAAGGTTCAGGGTTTGCTAGTTGAAGGGATAGATGGCTTTTCGCAGGCACAGTTTGCTTCCTCCTGGCCTGCCCGTGAGTTCATAGCTGGCCGCCTGCTGTGTAGCAGGAGCTCAGGTGCAGAGATTGCGCACTGGCCCTGCCACCTGCCACCCCTGAGCTCAGTGGGAACGGGCTGCTGTTCCTCAGTTACGGACCCTTAACCCCCGGAGGGACATTGGAACAAGCAAGTACAAAACTGAAATAAAATACAATTTTTAGCTTCTCCTAGTCTCATCACTTCTGCTCTTGTTTGTTCTGTATTTTTTTTCCCCCGCCAGGGCCACAGTCTGACTCAGTGGTAGAGTGTCTGCTCTGCATGTGTGAGACCCTGTGTTTGATCTTAACATCACAAAAAAGAAAAAAAAATTTTTTTAAGTCTCTGTTCATTCTTCAATACTTTTTTTATTTCAGTCTACATCCTGAATCTGAGGCAGGGAAAACTTGAGAATTCTGGAGTAGTCTCTATCTTCATCATCTTTCCATGGGGGTGTAGGAGGTATTTTTTTACTAAGGTAGAAGAGTGGGTAGACCTGGGTTCGATTTCTATCACCCCATATGGTACCCTAAGCCCACCAGGAATGATCTCTTGAGTACTGAGCCCTAAGTACCACTGGACGTGGCACAAAAACAAAAAACTAAAAGAGGTTTTATCAAATCATAACTTAGATATTGTCGTTACATTATGTTTAGGTTTACAGTACTGGATGGCAAGATCACTGCATACTGCCTGGTTATTGGGAGCCCCACCCACTGCATGGATGTCTGTTTTTCACACACATGCTTCCCCACCCCTGATTCTTAGTTTTTATACTGCAGGCTGACTCTGGCCCACAGACAGCTGAAATTCACTGTCTTCTATGATACTGACATTTAAAAAAAAAAAAATCAACAGACCTCTGTGTTTTTCCTTACGTACTTTTTGTTAGTTTCATTTATTAATGTTGATTCTAGTTAGATTGCTATGGTGTTTTTTCCTCATTCACCTACTACTTACTAACCCAAGCATTTCCTAAAAGGTAATGCAGGTAGGGCTGAAGATCTTCTTGTTAGTTGGTTTGGGGCCCTACCTGCCAGTACTTCGGGGTTGCTCCCAGCAGTGCTCGGAGACCATCAGTACTAGTGCTCTCAGCCCTTTGCTTTCTCTTTCTCTGACCCACAACTGAGGAGTTTAGAGCATTTATTTCCTCTAGGAGTTCCCACTACTTAAAATTCCTGTGACTTACACATGTAATATGAACTTTTGCCTTTCAAGAAATGCCGACAGGGCCAGAGAGATTGTATAGAGCTTGAGGCACTTGCCTTGAACACCCCCAACCCTGGCTCAATCCCCTGCACTGCGTATGTTCCCCTGAGCACAGAGGCAGGAGTAAGCCCTGCTCATTCCAAACTAGAAGCTATTTGCCACAGGAATCAGGAAAATATTCTAGCCTTTACATTTATTTCTTGGTAGACTGTAGCACTGTAGCACTGTCCTCCCATTGTTCATTGATTTACTCGAGCGGGCCCAGTAACATCTCCATTGTGAGACTTGTTACTGTGTTTGGCATATCGAATATGTCAGGTAGCTTGCCAGGATACATTTATTTCTTGGTAGCCTTTTTAAAGTCATGCATCCTTTAACCTTCATGTTATGTCACTCTGCTTTTTTTTTTAATGTAGGAGTACTGCCATTTATTCAGCCACTGATTAGCTGATTGAATTGTGCACGAACTCCACCTTACTTTTTTTAAAATTTTTTATAAATTTATTTATTGAATCACCGTGAGAGCAGTTACAAAGCTTTCGGGTCTAAGTCTCGGTCATACAATGAAACACCCGGTACCTTCACCAGTGCCCATTCTCCACTACCAAAAACCCCCGTATACCCCCATTCCCCGCCCTCCCCCTACCTGTGGGGCAGATGATTTCCACATTACTCTCTCTCTACTTTGATCTCTCTACTTTGATTTCCACATTACTCTCTCTCTACTTTGATCTCTCTCTACTTTGAAATACATTCAATATTTTGACCCCAGACCCACCATTATTATTTGAGATTTTACCCCAACACTCAGATCTGCTGAAAAGGCAACAGTAGATAATTTGTGTTCTATTGCTGGTTATGAATAACATATGATGTCCGTGGCTGCAGTAGGGTCATGTGATTTTGAAATTCCAAAATTTTAACACTTAAATCTGGAGGGATTTCTGCCAAAAGCCACTGGGTTTCGAGATTTGCTCCTGAGTCTCTGGGATCATGGCCGTTGAGCAGCTTGATCTGGAGCCAGAGAAGCTGTTCATGGGCGATGACTTGGGGTCTCTCTGGGGTGGGGAGGACAGGCCCGGCTCCACCCCCATCCCGTGAGGCCCAACAAGTTTTGTTACTGCAGGCCCAAGCCTGACTGTCCAATGGCCTCTGGAGGATGACAGCCACCTAGCCACCAGGGGGAAGCAGGCAGAGGGATAGCACCCTTTCCCCCCTGGGGTGGCCCAGTGACAGTAACCTACTGCGGAGTCCAGCCGCATTTTTGCCAAAAGCCGCTGGGTTTCGAGGTTTGTTCCTGAGTCTCTAGGATCATGGCCATTACGCAGCTTGATCAGGAGCCAGAGAGGCCATTCATGGGCGATGACTTGGGGTCTCGTTGGGATGGGGAGGACAGGCCCGGCCTCCCCCCCCACCCCCCCAATCCCGTGAGGCCCAACAAGTTTCGTCACTGCGGGCCTAAGCCTGACTGTCCAATGGCCTCTGGAGTTTGACGGCCACTGAGCCGCCAAGGGGGAGCAGGCGGAGTGACAACAACCTTTCTTCCCAGGGGTGGCCTGGCGACAGTAACATACTGTGGGGTCCAGATGCATTTCTGCCAAAAGCCACTGGGTTTCGAGATTTGTTTCTGAGTCACTGGGATCATGGCCATTAAGCAGCTTGATGAGGAGCCAGAGAGGCCGTTCGTGGGCGATGACTTGGGGTCTCGTGGGGGTGGGGAGGACAGGCCCGGCTCCCCCCACATCCCATGAGGCCCTGCGTGTCTCGTCCCTGTGCCCAATCCTGACTGTCCAGTGGCTTCTGAAGGATGGCGGCCACTGGGCCGCCCAGGGGAACAGACCAAGGCACAAAACCTATTCCCACCTGGGTTGGCCCAGCACCGGTAACCTACTGCAGGGACCGGACGCATTTCTGCCAAAAGCCACTGGGTTTCGAGATTTGTTTCTGAGTCTCTGGGATCATGGCCATTAAGCAGTTTAATCAGGAACAAGAGAGGCCATGCCTCTAATTATATAGCTGAGCCGGAGGTGGTTTGTGGGTGTGTTTCACACATACCTAACTTTTGGCCGTTTACTTTCTTGGTAAACTTTGCCCCAAGTTTTTGGGGTCTAGCCAAAGGCACAGCAGCAATTTTGGGGTATCTGGAAGTCTGAAGGCGCCATGTGGCTGCTGATGCACTTGCCTCACAGGTACAGACTGACCTGCTGGCAGCACCATACCCCCCGTCACTCTGCTTTTAAAAAGATAACTTTTGTTCATCTTTTTAGATAAAGCATATTGCAGGCATGTTCTCTATCTTAGAGTTCTATCCAGATCTCGCCTGAGATGTATCCTATATCCTCAATTTCTTTCGCTCTGGAGAAAGCCATACATCATATTGTCTCTTGTTTCTCTCTCTCTCTCTCTCTCTCTCTCTCTCTCTCTCCCTCTCTCCCTTCCCCCCCCTCTCTCTCCACCCTCCTCCCCATATTTCTCAAAAATAAAAATGTTTTACTTCTTCAGTCACAGACCCATGTTGCAGTACTTGCACTGGTCACTGTCTCTACTAGGAAATGTCCTAGAGCATCGCATCTTAGACTGCTTATGCTTGCAGTCTGCAGACAGGTGGTAAAACAACCACTGTTCTAGGGTCCAAGCAGATAGTACAGTGGGTGAGGGGCACTTGCTTTGACCATGGCACCACGTATGCCCCGAGCCCCACCAGAAATGATCCCTGAGCACTGTAGCACTGTAGCACTGCCCTCCCGTTGTTCATCGATTTGCTCGAGCGGGTCCAGTAACGTCTCCATTGTGAGACTTCTTGTTACTGTGTTTGGCATATCGAATATGTAACGGGGAGCTATCAGGGATGAAAACAAAGAAGGAAACTAAGACACATTCTAAAAGCCAGGAAGCTAGCTCAAAGGGCCAGAGTGCTAGAGTGCATGTTTTGCATGTGTGAGCCCTAGATTCAATTCTTTGCACCACATGGTCTCCTGAGCACTGAGCTAGGATTAGTCCCTCAGCATGTTGGGTGCGACAAGAAACAGAAAAAAACAAAAATCCTGCTTACTGTGAGAGCTCTGTAAGTAGAGCAGAAGACTCCTTATATGTGGGGAAAATGCTCAGACTTTTCTATACTAATCATTGCCTGTTTAGAGACATGGTTAGTAAGTATTATAATTTCTTTGTTCAACAATCTTAGCATTCTGAATTGAATCTGTGTAGTGGATACTGAAGTTTTACTAACTTGGAAACAAAAAATTGATTCTAGCTTTCAGTATTTTCCCTTCTTCTGGTGCTTTTTGTTCTATGTTTGAATGAGAATAGCCAAGCTAACTTTTTGTCAGTGCTGTGCTGCTGTTGCTGAATTAAAGTAAAGCCCAAAATCCTTCGGGTCACTAATGTTCACGATTTTGTTATTGCTTGCTGTTGCTTTATCTTTCCTTCTGTATCTTGCCCTCTTGCTTCCTAATCCTGAGCAGACCACATCAACAGAACGCCGAGGAGAGTGGGAATTCCAGCCGAGCCGGCAGACCTCGTACCTGACATCTCACTTGGCTGCAGACCGCCATGGGGGATCAGTGCAGGTACCACTGCCTTTACTGCCCTTTCTTGGCCTTTCCAGACCAGCTGCTCGGGTGTTGGCTTGCTTCCTTTGGAATAGAAACTTAGAGCCAGAGTGAGCTTCTTCTGTAGTTCACTGGATGCTAATTTTCTGCCCATGTGGACTCTTCAGAGCCACTAAAAATGAGTCTTGGTTGTTGTTGTTGACTAAGAAATGTGATTTCTGACACAGCATTCAATTTAATCCTACAAACTTTATCCATTTGTCATAAACCATACAAATGTAAAGATCTGAAATATACAGAATATGTATTTTTTAAATAAGGGACTAGAGCAGTGATTATCTTTTTGTTGTCTTTTGGGCCATACCAGTGGAGTTCAGGAATTACTCCTGGCTCTGTACTCAGGGAGCACTCCTGGCGGGTTCAGGGAACCATATGTGCTGCCAGTGATTGAACCTGGATGGCGTGCAAGGCAAAAGCCCTACCCACTCTACGATCTCTCTAGCCCACTAGAGCAGTGATTTTCATCCTTGGTCCGTGGATTGGTACAGGACCATAGGTGTAAAATGGTTGAAAACCATTCATCTATTTCTCTCACTTTCATGCTCAAAATATGGAGCAGTATTTTTCATACAATGGCCATGCACTGGTACCAACCCACATGTGTAAGAAAGTTGAAAACCACTGGAGCTAGAAGTGCCCATATAGTTCCTTCCTTGCTGTGTATTGCAGCCCGTGAAAAGGTGAGACTGTTAATTGGTACCAGTCAGCCATTTCTGAGTGAGCACCCAACAAGTTGTGCTATTTTTATTTTTCTTCCTAAAATAAGTGTGATCTTGGGAAATTATTTTCCTCTGCTGGAATGGGTGAGGGGTACTCCCAATTTGTGCTCAGAAAATCTGAGGGACCAGCAGTCACTCTTGCTTCAGAAGCTATGGGACTAGGACAAGTCAGCAGGTTGGAGTCTCTTTGAGTTTAGCTCTTTTTTTTTTTTTTTTTTTTTTTTATCTTGCTGCTTCCAGTATTCTGCCTTAGGGCCAGCGAGATAGTACAGTGGGTCAAGTGCTTGCCTTGCATGTGGCTCACCTGGATTTGTTCCCCAGCACCGAGTATGGTCTGTCCCCCGAGCTCTAGTGATTTGCTAGGAGTGATTCCTGAGCACAGAGCCAGGAGTAATCCCTGAGCATTACCAGGTATGGCCCCAAAACTTAAAATAAATAAATAAATAAAATCCTCAATATTCTCTCTCTTTGGGTTTTGTTATTTTAAATAACAGTTTTAAGTATAGGGTGTCCTCAACTTTTTCCTGGTGAGTCAATTTTCATTGGCCTCTTGGATCTAGGTGTCTGTAATCCTCAACTCTGGGAAATTCTTACTGATGATTTCTTTAACTATTGTTTCTTCATCACATTTGCCTTCCTGTCAGCCTCCTATGAGTCTAATATTGTTCCTCTTCAGCTCATTCTGTAGTTCTCTGGTGTGCTGTTCATTTCTGTTCAAACTATTGTCCACCTTCTGCTCTTTTATGGCACCTTCTACCTTCTCATCTTGGAGCTCCTTGATCTTCTGCTTGGCTGTATCTGTTCTGCGGTTCACAACTTCTGTTGACATTTTTTATATCACTACATCCTTCATTTCTGTCACTTCTGATTGTAGTTTTCTCATTTCTGTTCTCACACTTTCTTATGCTTTGCTGACTCCCTGTCTTGTTTCTTTGAACTCATTTATCATCCTCATCACGGTGTTACTAAAGACAGTTTCTGTGTTGTTTGCTCAGGTGATGCTGTTTTTGCTCACTGATCTTTATGGGATTCTGCATGTTTTTGTCACGGTTTTCTAGTGTTCTTGCTGTGCTAGGGATGAGTCTTGGTAATTGACCCTCGGAAGATGCTGAGGGATTAGGTTGAAGGCTGCTCCCTTTCTTCTCTGCCCATCCTCACAGAATGACAGGAATGTGACTGTGAGCAGTATCTCATTTGCTAAGTGTATCTGTTGTGCAGCTGTTCATGCTTCAGGAGCTGTGGTGGGGGCCCTTAATATGGTGCAGGTTGGATGTGGAGGCTGTTGAGACCCACTGCCTCCCAGGCCTGGTTCCTGAATAGGCCCCGTGGTGCCACCAGTGGCAGGCCTCAGCCAGGTTAGTGGTGTAGGAAGCAGAAGTTCTCCTCAGTCCAGTCAGCCCTGTGAGTAAAGGAAAAAAGCAAGATTTTAGGGCATAGTGTTCTTTGAAAACTGTCGGCTTATTTCTAGACCCCTCATTTTGGATTTTCTCTTTCCTTTCTTCCAGCCATTAAATTTAGGGGTATTTTTGGTTTGTTTGTTTTCTTCAAAAGCTTTTTTTTTGTTTTTGTTTGCTTTTTGCCTTTTGGGTGATACCCGGCAATGCACAGGGGTTTCCTCCTGGCTTTGCAGTCAGGAATTACTCCTGGTGGTGCTCTAGGGACCATGTGGGATGCTGCGTGCGAGGCAAACTCCCTACCTGCTCTACTATTGCTCTAGCCCCTAAAAACAATTTTTTGAGGATCACAGCCAGCTGTTCTCAAGGCTTATTCCTGGCTCTGACTTCAAGGATTAGGGTTCCAGGGGTCTGACCTGGGTCAGCCAAGTCCAAAGCAATCACATTAACCCCTGTAGTATCTTTCCAGCCCCCTGTTAAATTTAGTTTTAGTTATAAATTTTTGGGGCAAAAATGCTATATTGGTACTGTTTTATAGTATTCTTTTTAACAGAATCAGCAAATAAATAATGGCGGATGATTTCATTAATTGGAGATGCTAAATTTTTTCAGTGGCAGAAATTTGGGTATTTCCTGGCTAAATACAGATTTAATGTAAATTTATTTGACCATCTCTGTGATAGTGTATAAAGTTCTTACCATGTTTTGTTAATAAGAACAATAGAAGTTTCTGGTTTAAAAATAATTGTAGACACAGGCCAGAGAGATAGTACACTGAGTAAGGCATTTGCCTAGCACATTGGCAAACTGGATTCTATCCCCAGCACTACATATGATCCCTTGAGCACCGCCAGGAGTAATCCTTGAGCACAGAGCCAGGAGTAACCCCTGAGCATCACCAGGTGTGACCCAAAAAACAAATATCAATAATAATTATGGGCATAGCCAGTGAGTTGTTTTCATATTGTCTATTCTTTCCTTTTTGAATAAATACCACCCCCCTCCCCCAAAGACTTCTGCTAAACATTTTCTCTTTTTATTTTTTTGGCTTTTTGGGTCACACCCAGTGATGCACAGGGATTACTCCTGGCTTTGCACTTAGGAATTACTCCTGGCAGTGCTCAGGGGACCACATGGGACACTGGGAATCGAACCCGGGTCAGCCACGTGCAAGGCCTACTCACTGTACTATCACTCCAGCCCCAACATTTTCTCTTTATGCAGGAAATTTTTTGCAGATTAAGTGATGAGGACCCCAGCTGAGGGGGAGAAAAGGAAAAAACTTTCTGGAGGGAGGGTCTGGTGTACATCCTTTGGATGCAGAGGGCCCCGGGAACATTGAGGTGTGGCCAACCAAACCAAAAGAAACTGCTTGAGGGAGAAGAACAGTAAGCTTTTATTCATCCATTTCCATGTCCCATGGCACTGTACTTGGACTTAGTGCAAATGCCGCACAGTTGCCTGGTTAGGTTAGCAACAGTTCTCCATCTTACACACAGTTCAGATCCAGAAGAGACTGAGGATCTGGCAACAATAACAAAATGTAAGTAATGAAGCTGGGATTCAAATCCAGGGCTAAGTCTAGGTCTCATTTCATTTACTATTCAGTGCCACTTTCATTCTTGTTACCTGGTATTATACCTTGACTCAAGTATAATTCTCTCTCAACCCCCCTTCCTGTACATAATAGTCTCAAATAAATAATTTCTTATCTAATAGCATACAGTGGCTGAACTATTTTATCTTCTTTTTTTTTTTTTTTTTGCTTTTTGGGTCACGCCTGGTGATGCACAGGGGTTACTCCTGGCTCATGCACTCAGAAATCACTCCTGGCAGTGCTCAGGGGACCATATGGGATGCTAGGATAGAACCCAGGTCTACTGCATGCAAGGCTAACACCCTACCTGCTGTGCTATGGCTCCAGCCCCTATTTTATATTCTTTAGTGGTTCTCTCCCATGTTTCAACCGGGGTCTTTAATAGCAGAGTGTTTTATCCAGCAGGTCCCTTTTTTCTACTCCCCAGCATCCACATGAACAGGATTCATGTGCTAGAAATGAAACCAGGTGGCAGTAGCAGCTGCACAAGCAAGAAAAGTTCAGTCGGACCCAGAGTGGCAGATAGCAGGACTGAGAGCCGTCAGTCAAGGCTCGGGGACCAGCAGTGAGCAGTGGGAGACAGTGAAGGTCGTAAAAGAAGACTGAGCTTTCAGGGGAAGTGTGTCTGTACTATCTTCCCTCTCACTAGAGGGCACATGATACTTGTGTTATTTGAGTGCTAACCAGTGGTCAAAGCCATGAAGAAATGTCTGAAGGAGAGTATGATTATTTAGTTTTCTCAATCTCAGTGTTTGTTTTTTAATGTTTAATTTTTTAAATTGAATCACAGTGTTATACACATTTACAAAGTTGTTCATAACTGGATTTCAGTCATATAATGTTCCAACACCTTTCACCCATGTACCAATGGTCCCAGTTTCTCTACCAACCTCCACCCCCTGCCTGCCACTGTTGTTTTTTTCAAAAGATGTTTTTAAACGTCTTACTGAGTTTTCATGTAATTGAAGCTTAAATGAGTAGCATTAAAGAGAGGGATATAGGGGCCAGAGCAATTGTACAGTGGGGAGGGTACTTGCCTTGCATGTGACTGACAGAGTTCCATCCCCAGCTTCCCATATGTCCCCTGGAGTGAACCTGCCAGGAGTAATCCCTGAGCACAGGGCCAGAAGTAATCACCGAATAATGCCGAGTGTGGCCTAAAAACCAAAAAATTTAAAAAAAATAGAGAGGGGGTATGTTTTATAGCTTTCACTGGGTGAGGATTACATTGTTTCCATCCAGTGTAAAGGAATAGGCATTTAGTACAAGTTCTGATGATCACATCATTGAATTTTTGGTTTTCCCCCGTAAGTCTGATTGCCTACTCTAAGTTTGGGCAGTTGCCTTCTCTCCCTCAGCCTTTCATCTCCTCCCTTGTCTGCAGCCCTCAGGAAGCTGCACTGGGCTCCAGTGCTCTAACTCTAGGGGCCACCCATGGAACACACACCCCAGCTGAGGAATTCTCCCAGGATGCTAACACCCTCCCTTCCCCCGGCCACGCTCCACTAGGAGGCTCTGACCAGAGAAGCCCAGCCCGGGGGCCGTTGCCCTCAGTCCTGGACAAGCGGCCAGATTATCCTCTCCCCCATCCGCCCTCCCCACCCCTGCCCCGCCCCGTTATCCCCTCCCAGGGAATACAAACACCTCAGACATGGCCTTGAAACCACATCTCCCCGAGGGACCCTTGCTAGCTGGCAGGAGACTGCTGTTACCGTGCTGTGTGTCACACCGAATCTTTCTCTTGCAGGTGGTTAGCTCAGCCAATGGAGAGCTGAACGTCGATGACCCCACAGGTGCCCACTCCAATGCACCGATCACCGCTCACACTGAGGTGGAGGTACTGGAGGAAGCTAAGTACGTTCCGACTTCGGGGGCTCCTGGCCCCTCTCTGTCTTGCTCTCTGTGTGCTGCTTCTCACTCCATGCCGGTCTCCTCTCCACAACTTTCTTCCTTCGGCTGTTTTGCTTTTGCATGGCACTCTAAGGCTTCTGCTGTCCTTTGTTAGCTGTGATTTCACATTTTTTCTAGTCTCCCTGGGACAAAAGTTAGTAGTCAGGAGACTCTTTGAATCCCGGAGCTTCTGACTCCTTGTATGTTTATCCAAACTACTGACCCAGCTGAGCAGCATGACGAGTGCTCTTGTTATAGTTCTGGAGAAAGAATTTCAGGACCATTTTGTTCTTTTTTTTTTTTTTTTTTTTCGCTTTTTTGCTTTTTGGGTCCTACGCAGCAATACACAGGAGTTACTCCTGGCTCTGCACTCAGGAATTACTCCTGGTGGTGCTTGGGGGATCATATGGGATGCTGGGAATCAAACCCGGGTCAGCTGTGTGCAAGGCAAACGCCTTACCCGCTGTGCTATCTCTCCAGCCCCAGGATCATTTTGTTCTTAATTAAATGATTTTTGGATTCAGAAGAACTCAAGTCAGGGGAGAAAAATCGTTTCTGTTTCTGTTCCTGTGAGTAAATGAGTCTTGAAATGAAGAGGAAATCACTAATCCCCAAAGGGCGAGGAAGCGCCTCACTCCCTTTCCTGCTTTTCTCGCATGTGTGTGTCTTGCCTTGCCCAGGCCGCCAGCCCCTTGGTGTTCTCTGCATGGTCTGTGTTTAAACTCTTAACATCTGTGTGGGAGGTGAACTACCTTTTGGCCCTGCTATGAAAGCAGCACTCTGACCACTTCTCTCTTTTTGCCTCATCTCAAGTTCAGATTCAACAGCAAATTCCCAAGAAGACACAAGCGGTGTCTTTTTGATTTAGTAACTGCTGCCACGGCGAATGCATATGATCTCTTTACTAAAACCCTGTGAGAACAGTAGTAGGCCCTCCCAGTAGCATCTTCCCTGAAGCTGGCAACATGCTTATAGTGAAATTGTGCCCTGAGTGGTCTCTTGAGTATCCAGAGGCCCCAAACATCCCTACACCCCTGGATGCTTCCTTTCAAATACGATTTCCATGGTTGCGATCCCCCCACACGCACACACACCTGACTTCTTCCTGATCTATACGATGAGCTCACCTTTCCTGGAAAGGCCAGGGCTCAAGAATTCCTACCCAGGAATTCTTAAAGCTGAGAATGTTTGGAACTCTTGTCAAGTCACTGCTGACTATAGGGTACCTTTGGGTGTTCCTCTCCTGGGCGATGCTGGACCTGGCCCTGTGTTGATGGGGGCTTTGGAAAATTGTCACGGTGGTCACAGTTTTTCAGTTTCCATGGCAAAATTTAGTCTTCCACATAAACACTATGCCGCTCTGGGTTCTTGGCCTCATCTGAACTTGCAGTCGGCTCAGGTCAGAAAATACCAATACCTGAGTCCCAGCACCAGAGTTTCTGGTTTAATTTCTCTGGGATATGATGTGAGCATAAAGACTTTTAAAGTTCAGAAGATTCAAGTTTCTTGTCAAGCTTGGGAATCACTCATTAACTCACTCCTGATTCCCCTTTGTGGCTATTATGTGGAAGATTCTGGGTTAAGTAGTGACCCTTGTGTACCAAGATTGACTATTTCCGTTTTACAGTGTATTCCCATACAGGTATGCAGGTTCATCTTTTGGACCATTACATTTCATTTCTTTTTGGTAAATGTGTGTGTGTTCGCGTGCATGCGTGTGTGCGTGTGTGTGTGGTGTTTGTATCCTGTGTGTAAGGTAGGGGGCCATTCACACAGATTTTAATCCGGTATATCCTGTTCCTAGTATCACCTAAACTGCAAGGTAGAGAGTTAAGTCTCTCTGCTTAGCAGAGCGAACACTCTAGTCTTTGCTCCCTTTCATCAGAACAGGGCAACAGTATTTGATAGCATGTCACCCAAAACTCTGGGTTTAAAGCATTTGTATGCCATTTCCTTTAGTAATCTCCTGAATTTCCAATCCATCTTTCTGAGGACACTGTCAGAACACAGCCATGTATTTTACCGTTTGACTCTGTGTGTGTGTGTGGAGGCGGGAAAGGAAGGATCACCAAATATCCATCTGCTCGGTCATGTTCATGGGAAGAAGTCACAGTGAGAGAAACATAAGGCACTCCACCCCACCCCCTCATTACAGGCATCTGTAGTACCTCATGGATATGCAGCCTGTTACCATTCAACTCAGGTACTGGTGAGGCTATGTGAAACCTTCACCTCTAGACTTTTGGCTTCTTCACCCAAATGATTTTGTGTGAAGGGAGGAAAGAAATAATAGGGTCTTGATTTTTGTTTTCTGTATAGAGTGAGTGTCTCGCTTCCCATTTCTGTGTTTAACTATGATGGGAAGGGTGGTGAGGCAAGCATCTATGGTTGATGTTTGTTGGGGTCTGAACACAGACATTTGGTACTCTCCATGGACTTCAGCCATGAGTGAGCAAACGTGGACATATTTCTTCCATCATCACCCCTGCTCCCCCAGAATTAACAGAAATGGGGTTCAAGTGCTTTTCTGCACTTGACACTTTCTTTGTTGCAGAATATTGGAAGGTCAGCAAGACACCATGTAGGACTTCCTGTGGTGGACCTTGTACCAAAATATCTTGGCATTGCTGAAACAGGAGCAATTGTTTTTGCTCTTGAAATTAGCCCAGCACCTCCTGAAGCTGCATCAGTGCTTTCTGTTTCGCCTTTCCCCTCACTGAGAGCCCATTCCCACTGTCATGCTTCTGCCAGGCCCTGTCCCGTGCCACTTTAGTGTGGAGACCAGGCGACTGAGTCTCCACTCTGCCTCAGCAGAGGAAGAAACTAAACACAGACACATTCTGCATGTTTGCATGGCTCACAGGGAGTCGCTCTCCTCTCGCCTCTGTGAACTAATATCTGTCTTTCTCTCTCTTCCTTTCTGTGCTTTCTCTTTGTATACTCTATAGCTGCCTGAAAATGCTCAACCTGTGGTGAGTCCCTCTCTCCAGTCCATGTGCCAGGGAAGCAGGCCCGGCTAAACCGGGATTGGCAAAGCCAAACGATGCCCTAGGAGCATTGGTTGGTCACTCTCTGCCACGTTGTTCCATACCCACCCAGACTAGGGAACTGGATCCACAGGTGGGGATGGGATAGGCCTGTCCCCCTGAATTTCCCTGTCCCTTCGACACCTCATTGCTGCCTCCTGTCAAAATAATACCCCATGATATCCAGAACTCTTAAGTTTTTCAACAGAATAAATTTTCTCCCAAAAAACTAAATACTATCAGACAAGTAGGAACAGAGATAGGAAGACAAGATTACATGTCAGTTTTTTAGATTATTCCTCACAAGGCCAGTATTAGTGGGATAATCTCAGATTCTACAGCTTGGTCCATGACCTGAAAATCGCCTGTTTTGGCAGAATCTTGTCTGTCTTTTTGATTCACCTGATTCTCCCATCTACAGAATATGGATTTCTTGGAAAAGAGTGAGAGATACTTAGGGGAAAAGATGGACATTTTGTTGTTTGGGTTATTTTGTTTGTTTTCTCCCTCTTTCCTTTCCTCTAAGAGAGTATAGTGGTTCCAAAGACAGCGTTGGCGAAGGAGATAATGGAGCCTTTCTTTTGCATGCTGGGGAATAACTCCTCGGATGCATTCCTCAGGACAGCATTGGGGTATGGAAGGGAAAGCCCTAAGAATCCATGTTTGGGAGGCACATTCTTGCTATAGATAAACCCCTTCTCAGCCCTCTTCCTGGTCACTGTCTGACACCTTCCGGGTGCTGCCGAGCTAGCTGGGCTGTTGTGGTCTGAAGCTGTGACTCTCCTCTTTGTCTGCATGCATATGCTCTGTGCTCACGACAGCCTGCTCGACCTGATGGCCGCCTTGTGTCTGTTTGTCAGCAGTGACTGGAGTGGGCTCCAGTGTCTGAGTCCCGACCGTAAGTTCAGTTACATACGGGCCTTCCCCAGGGACGGGTAGATTGAAGATAATCATTTAATGCAGGGTTTGTGGCGATAGAGCTTGTAGATAGAATTTATGATCTCGAGGAGTACATTTGGCCTGTCCAGCACATGTGTGTCTATATAATCTGATATTATTATGGTACCCCCAGATGTTAATCACACAATCCTGCAAATTTTTTGCTTTGTTCCCAAGGAGTTTCTAGTCCTGCCCCAGAGAGCTCAGGAACCATCTTGGTGGAGCCATGAAACAAACATTCTTGAAAGGACCATTATTTGTCCATTCAAGATACTTGCATGTTTGAGAGATCACTGTGCAGCGGGAGGGTGAAGGAAGTTTTCATGGAAACTGTATTAGAATAAGAGGAGAAAGAACATGTGCAGTAAAGGAGAGAGGCAAAGTAAGTGACTGGTGTGAGGAAGAGCTAGAACATAGCGTGAAAAAGGCCAAGACATGGGAGAAGAGCACTCAGGGCTTTTGAGTAGAAAAACTGGATGGATTCTGACTGAAGCGTGATAAGAACTCTGAGCTTTCTGTCCGAGAGTCAACTGGAAGACATCTGAAAGGCTCACTTATTTTTCTGGGGGTCCATTCCATGGTGACCTGAGGGTCTCCTGGTGTGTTTGGGACCGATCACCATCCCCCTGCACAGCCGACGATGGACGAACAAAGGAACAGGGCGCCACAGGCTGGTTGATAATCAGTAGCCCAAAAGTTTATTCAAGTCTCTCAGTGTTAGTTACAGAGAAATCGTGAAGGGTTGGGGGTAGCAATCACACAGAGGTGTGGTTGAACATTATCATAAATAATGAACAGATATAAAGCCCTTCCTTTAGAGGAAGTTCAAGGAGATCCACCCAAGGACAAAATCTCATCTAGGGATTCTAGCACTCTAAATCCCTACTAGGAGATCTGCCCAAAGGCAGAATTCTGTCTAAGGGCATATTGTTTTCCCCTTTCCTTTGCTAGTAATTAATTTAAACAATCATCATCATAATAATATCTCTAGTCATTTTGTTTGAACACAGTAAGGGATATATTAAGCTTAAAGAGGACTCTGCCTGGGGGCATCTCTCAGTATATTCCAGACTACAGTCCTCAGGCCAGGTTTGTCTTTCCTAACTCCAGCAGGGTCCTTATTCAGTCACTTCTGTTTGGGTCATATCAGAGTTTGTTCTGTGACCGTGCTCTTATTATACTTCTTATGGCACTTAGCCTGTGCCAGGGTATCTTATGACGTGCCTTGGGTCCATCCAAGTCCCTCTCCAGGACCCCCCTTTTTGAGGTGTTAGGAACCAAAGGCAGCTGAGGCTTAAGTCAAGTAAATATGATAGATGCCCAGGCGTAAATATTATTTGGAACCAATTAACTCCCAAGTTGCAAAAGCATAGCATTAACTGTCTTCCAGTGTCTATACAGAAAGGACATTGCTCTAAAATAAACTATGGAAAGCACATAAAGGAAAGCGAAAGCAATATTTTACTTACATATACAAAATCCAGAGCCCTCAGGTGATTTCACCTACAGGTTACAGGGTCTGATTTGGGGATATATGTGATTAACAGATAGGGGAAGAAGAGCCAAAGGAGAGGTTAAAGAGAGACACAGAGAATTGGGAGTGCTTGATGGAACTGGGTGTACCTTGGGGAGCACCATGTTGGGTGTAGCTCAGTTAACCAAAGCTGCCTGTGGGAGGAGCAAGGACAACCCAATGTTAAACCTAAAATGCTTAGAACTATAATCCAACAGCTCACCACTTGTCTTCTCTTCTGAGAGAAAGGCTTTATGGAATTCTCAGTGGGCTTGTCTTGGGTCTGCCTAGGTTTTGGGGGGGGGGGGGGGCATGTGCACCCAGGAATGCACAGTAGCTACTTTAGGCTCCTTGCTTGTGGGTGGCTCCTGACAGGACTCAGAGGATCATAGGTGCTAGGAAACAAATCTAGGCCTTCTGCATGCAAAATTTGTCTGTAGCCCATTAAACTAATATCTTCCAGTCCTGAACCAATTTTAACAGGACCTGATGATGGTAATTACCACAGAAACCAAAGAGTTGTTGGGCCAGAGATAGAGTTTAAATGGCTTAGCACATTGTTTGCATACAGGAAGCACAACTGGGAGCTATCCCTGAACACATCCAGGGTCACCCCCAAGCATCAGATTGGAAGAGCAGGTTGTGGGACTGCTTCCTCTCCTGGATAGAGTTACTGAGAGTTTCAGCTGAAGTTTTAGCTGTGGTATCTGGCGGGCCATAATACATCAGGCGGGGTGTTCGCCTGGCACATACCCTACCCAGGTTTAATCGCTGTGGTTCCCCAAGCCCTGCTAGAAGTAAGCCCTGAGCACTGGGTGTGGCCCCCAAACCAAGAGTAAATAAATAATTAACTATGGTAATTTGTAACACTTTTGGTAGAACTCTGGAGTATGTGCCTCCTCCACTCAGTGAGCTCGCCGCTGTGCTTGAACGTCATCAAGGCAGGATAGGCTTTTTAGCAGATAGCGATTTCCTGATCTCCCTCGAAAGTTAGTTTAGCTTGAAATGGGCCAAAACAATATTTTGTATGGTTTTGAGTGTTTTTATTTAAAAACACAAACTCTTAGGGCTGGAGTGATAGTATAGCAAGCAGGGTATTTGCAGTGCCTGCAGCCGACTTGGGTTGATTCCTGGCATCCCATATGGCCCCCCATGTACCACCAGGAATAATTCCTGAGCACGGAGCCAGGAGTAACCCCTGAGCAATGCTGAGTGTGGCTCCTAAACCAAAGGTAAACAAATAGTAAAAACTAAAAACATCATCTTAGAATTTACCTCCAAAAAGAATAGAAATAAAAGTTGATAGAAATGTTAGTGTCTTTGAAGGTTAACTGCAACAGAGGGCTATTAAAATATTGGTGCTCCCATGAGATTTAGTTTGCCTTGTTTAATATTAACTTCAAGAGACTCAACTTGAAAAACATACACTTAAAAAAAACTAAGGAAAAATATATTCCCCCTGATTCTTTTCCCAGCAATTTCACTAGGGACTGTTTATTTTAAAGAATAATTTACTCGGGAGGGGGGCGGGGGTTGGAGCAATAGCACAGCGGGTAGGGTGTTTGCCTTGCACGCGGCCGACCCAGGTTCAGTTCCCAGCATTCCAGCCCATATGGTCCTTCAAGCACCGCTAGGAGTAATTCCTGAGTGCATGAGCCAGGAGTAACCCCCTCTGCATCGCTGGGTGTAACCCCCCCAAAAAAAAGGGAAAAAGAATTTATTAGGGTGCTAAATGCATATTGGTTATTGACTGTTCAGGTTTATTAATAATACTTTACAAACATAATTGATCTTCAGAAAATCTTTTTTTATGATATCCTTGAGCTCCTGTTTCCAAAATTTTGATGTTTCATTCATTTGGGTAATGGTAAAAATCCCATTTTGGTCTCCGTAAACATTTATTTCTAAGAACATTCTTTGGAATTTTATTAACTCATTCCCATTGTGACTGGAGTGATAGCACAGCAGGTAGGGCATTTGCCTTGCATGCAGCCGACCTGGGTTAGATTCCTCCATCCCTCTCGGAGAGCCTGGCAAGCTACTGAGAGTATCCTGCCCACACGGCAGGGCCTGCAAGCTCCCCATGATGTATTTGATATGCCAAAAACAGTAACAACAAGTCTCACAATGGAGACGTTACTGGTGCCCGGTTGAGCAAATTGATGAACAACGGAAGGTCAGTGCTACTAGACAGTGCTACAGTGCTGCATTCCCATTGAGTGTAGGAGTACCAAGGGTTCTGGCTTCAAAAAGGGAATCTTAGCTGCAGTGGAGAATTTAAGAGTAAGGAGAGCAGGGCTGGAGCCATAGCACAGCGATTAAGGTGCTTGCCATGCAAACAGCCACACCACGTTTGATCCCCATCATCCCACATGTTTCCTGAACACCTCCCGGAGTCACTCCTGAATGCAGAGCCAGGAGTAACCCCTGAGCATCACAGGGTGTGGGTCTCCATCCCACCCCCCCAAAAGAGTAAGGGAAGTAGGCGATAGCTCTTTATTACACATGATTATTCTTGACATGGAACCTGGAAGGATTAGACATGGTCGCTGAGTTCAAAGATGGTTTTCTCAGAGGAATTTTTCTTGCAGGAGTGCAGCAACTCTGAGATGCCCCTGCCATCTCCCTGTGCCTTTGACTCACCCACTGCCTCCTATCCCTCTCCACCCCACTTTCCACATGGACAGAACGGGTCATCTGCACCAGTCCTACCCTAACCCTCCTTGAGGACTTCTGGCAAATCGCATTGCACGAGCAAGACATGCTTTCAGGTTCAGAGGACGCGAATGAGGCTCAGGGATGTGCTGACGCTGTGGCTCCCGAGGCAGCCTGGGACCTGATGATGCACACAGCACCCTACACCCCAGTACTGCACGGGGATCAGCTCCTAAACTGCAGGCTTTGGTGATCTGAGCAGGGAGCCTGGACCCACACTTCCGTAGAGTCAGAATTTCTACTGTTCTGTACCTTGGGGCCAGCTGGGATAGAGGATAGAATTCTTTTCGTGTGTGTGTGTGTGTGTGTGTGTGTGTGTGTGTGTGTGTGTGTGTGTTGCAGATATTGAACCCAGAGCCTCGTACATTTAATGCAGGTGCTCTACCTTTGAGCTATTTCTCAGGCCCCAGAGAGGTTTTTTTTTCCCCCTTGGGTTTGGGGAACACACACAGTGGTACTCGGAATCACGTGGTACTGGAAGTCTTAATCATTTAAACTTCGTGAGATCCTGGAAGCGTTCCAGTCATGCTTTCCATAGGATCTGTTTGCCTTTGTTTGGCCTTGCTACCATCTCACCGATGACTATGCAGTAAATAATTCTGCTGTATCAGGAGGACTGTGTATACTGTTGTTCTTATGTAGCCCAGAGGGTCCCTGGGTAGACAAAGATGAGGAATCTGGGTTGGGTGTTAGATTAGGAAGTTATTCTCCTTCCAGTGCAACATTCCCCCAAAGGGCAGAAGTATGTGTTTCCAGCCCTGCTTGCTTGCTATGGTGACAAATGACACAGCTGTTTCCTTTGGCTTTCCTGGGAGACACCTGCCCTCCCTTCCCCGACTCCCCCCATCCACCTACCACCATCAGGTGATCTATAAGGCAGTAGGCTGCCCTCAGGTTGGGTGGGTGGGTGCCAGGGGTGAAGTCCCACTCCCTCCCTAAGTTATTGCTGGCAGAAGGCTGTTGGAAGTTGCAAACCTCCTTCCCTGACTTGCCTTGTTCCTTGTGCTCCAGGTGCTGCTGTTTCTTTAAGAGGAAAAGGAAGAAGACTCAGCGCCACAAGTGACCAGTGCCAGCACTTGCAGCTCCTGCCATTTCTCATTGAAAGGGACTCCCCTGTGGGGGAGGGTGGAGATCCAAACCAAAAAGAAGAAAACAGTTGCCCCCAGGAGGAGTCAGTGCAGGCAGCCAGGGCCTAACTGGTCAGTGGCCTGGCGGTCCTCACCCATCCAACACTCTGAGCTGGACTCAGAGCTCTTCCACGGTTTGCCCTGGGTGCTGTCTGGCTGATCCTCCTTCCTATTGTTTACAGTGAAGGTGTCATTCACAAAAACTCAAGGACTACTACTATTCTCTTCCTTCCCCTTAGTTGACTCCTGGTTCTTGGCCCACACTTGACCCCCTCCAGCATTGCAGCTATTCAGTGCAGGGCTGGTCTGCTGAAGGAGCCTGAGGAGCTGGGCTAGGGCGCAGAAGCTTGGAGGAAGATGCCCAGCCTTGGCCCTGCCATGAAATTGGCTCCCTCTTCTCTGCATCTGCGCAGCCTCCACCCCTAGCTGGACCTGGGGTGCAGGTCCCCTGCTCCCTCCTGTGAAGTTACACTGTAGGACACAAGCTGTGAGGAATCCGCCATCTACTGTTCCCCCGTGTTGGTATTCTTAGCTTTCTGGACAAGTGACTCGACTCCAGTCAGTGTCAGATAAAGAGAATTGTCCCTGAGCAGTGGGGAAATGACAACAACAACAAAAACTGACTTTATTGCACTTTTAGTTTTTTGTTTTTAACAAAAACAACTTTGCAGATGCATATTGTGTCTGGTTATATTGTTTTACCTGTTTTTTTCTGTTTTGAGGGAGTTGGGGCCAGCTCAGACATTCAGAGAGAACCTGGGTCCAGAGAACATTCTCAGCGGAAAGAGATGGGTCTGCAGCACCCAGAAGAGAAGAAGCCAAACTGCGTCATTCTGAGTGAACGCTCAGGTTGACAAGGAAGCATACTTGAATTTTCATGCATCTTCTCAGCTGCCAACGAATGTCCTTCTTGACCTCACCCACCTGCGATTTGAACAACCTGACTTTCTGGCACAGGGGTGAAGCCGACTGTGACTAGGAGACAGTTTGTTCCCGAGAAGCAGAGGCAGAACAACACATCGGTCTGTTTCCTCCACTGCCAGGGACTTCCAGCTAGATAGCCATGTGATTAGCTTAGTGACTCTTGGAGGCCAAGATTCATGGTGAAATAGCCACCACCATTTTGCTACAGCGGACAGAAAGAAGGAAGTCATTTCGCCTTCTGGCTGCCAGAGGAACCCCCAGAATTGACATCCCAGGACCCCTGAGAGCTGAACCAGGCCCTGGGGTCTCCCTGCCTCATGGCAGGCTCAGGGCTCAGCACAGGTGTTGACAGAGGATGAGGGTAAGGTTTGTTGGCACTAGAAAGTTCCAGAGAAAAGGAGACTGACATGAAAGTCTGAAGTTGTCTTCAGGACAGACTCCTTCTAGAAAAGAAGTGAGCACTTGCTCGCTGTTGCTGCTGCCGCCGCCGCCGCCCTGCGCATGCTCACAGGACAAGCCACCGTGAATCCCCTGGGAGAGTTTCTGCTTGGAATGTCAGAAGTGGTTGGGGGCCAGGATTGTAGCTCAGTGGTAGAGGCCCTGGCTTTGATCCTGGAGTCACAGGAAAAAGGGAAAGGAAAAAATATGAAGTTAACTTTCTTAGGTTCCATTTTCCTTTGAGTTCAGTGGTTCTCCAGACAGTGACCTTTCATTCCAGATGTCTGGGAGGAAGAGAGGAGAAGGAGATTGTTTCCTTCAGGGAAGGAGGTCTTGTCTCTACAGGTAGAGATTGCTCATCAAGGAGAACAGTGTCTGGTGACCTAGTCAGGTGCTTTGGAGAGCAGATAAATCACTACCCCTGGCTTGAGGTGTGGGGTTGTCTTCTAGATTGGAGAAGGTGGGACTACTTTCTGCGAGGTGGTGTTACCTGAGTAGTTTCTTGATTTATCGCCTATGGAACCAAAAATAGCATTAGCATGAATAGCATGACTGGGTTTTGCCATTTCCGTCGGACCTTGGCTCGGAAATGCCACTTCATGACTTCAAGCTTGCTTAGTTCCTGAAAAGTTGTCACCTCTCCTTTTTTTCGACAAAACTGGCCAGGAGATGCCTTGATGCTCCCCTTTCCCCCTACACAGATTTTTGAAGAACAGGGTTTGCTTCCTTGATGTTACATAGTGATTAGGGCACCCGCTTAGAGATGGACACCGTTTCTCAATCAGCAGTGGGCAGCCTGAACTTCCTGTAGAGCAATTGTAACACCCTCGTCTCTGATTAGAAGAAAAGGCTTGCCTCTAGGGGCAGGGTAAGGAGAAAATATGGCAAAGCTTGGAGCATCCTGGCACTCCATACCCCTAAGTGCCTCCCCACTCATGTCCCCCTTGTGCTTTTGCAGAAAGCAAAGGCAGAGGCCAGCTTGCCTGCTTGTTAAATCCCTCTCAAAGCTGGGTTTGGGACTGTTTCTGGAATCTTTAATATTTTTATAGATTAGCTCTTGAAGGGTTGGATCCAAGCAGTTCAGTTGTGTGTGTGGGTTTCTTCCTAGTGCACTATTCTCATGGACCCCACCTCCCCACCCACAACCCATGCACACTGGTCTACTGCTAGATATTTGAAAGATGAAGACCCCTGCAGGGCCCCCTGGCAGGAAGGGTAACAGTCATCCTCATCTCCAGGGGAGCCTGTTGTGATCTTCCTGAAGATGGCTGTACACACTCACTTTGCTAAGAAAGCAGTTTGGTTATTAGTGTGTGTGTCTTCTCTCATTCCTTCCCCTTCCCCCAAGTCTCCCCTCTTCCCACCCACACAACAGGGCCTCTGTTGCATGGCCTGTGCCTGTTGCTGGTTTGCAATGTCTCTGCCGGGCTCCTAGTGGGGCTGGGTTCCAGCACTCCTACCCCTGCCCAAATCTGCTTGATCTGTAGGGGTCTTTCTTTCTCTTTTTTATTTCTCTGTGATTTTTTGAGCTTCCTCTTTGTCATTGTTTCTGAGTAGTATTAAGAGCTGATTTAGCATCTTTTTGTGTGACGTCCTTCAACATTAGGCCATTAGGAGTTCTCCCAGGTTCTCAATGTTGCTCTCATCCCAGATTGCTCAGCAGAGCTTTGCCAACTGCCAGTCACGTTTGCTTTTAGGACGCCCTCCATGTTTTCCTGCTATTTGGGAATCTGTGTAGGAGTAAACAGGATCTAGGAAGGTACAAGTCAGGTGACTCTTACAAAGAAACAGCTCCCTCCAATGTGTCTGCTTCCAACTTAATCCGGTGGGAATGTACACAGGTATTTCATATTCAGTGTTGATTCTCAGTGTTAGGAGCCACTTTTGATGTCAGAGATACGCGGTGATGGTTATGTGCTATCAGAGTGGTTACTAAAGATTATGGCCTTAATTTTTTATGCAAAATATATGAACCGCTCCCCATCCCGGTGAGCGGCATGCCTGTTTTTTAAAAGCAAGCACTCCTGTGGCAGAGCAGAAAGCATCTCTTACAAGGAACTTGATATTCTGGTGCATCTCTCCCAAATCCCGTGTGCCTCCAGTGTCCTATCACCTCTTCCACTTTCATATTTGTACCACTTTTCAATCCCTCATGAGTTGCCCCGGTAATGAATATCTCCAGTGTCCGAACCCCATCAAGGCTAGGGTGGGACCTTGTAGAGCCATACAGCCAACATTGCCTTGGCCAGACCATTGCTACAAGGTGAGCGGATGAGTTTCAGGAGCCAGGGTAAGTAGGTACCGCCGCTGGACTGGCCGTGGAGCAGTGGTCGGGCTCTTTTTTTTGTTGCAGAGGCTGATGACCAGTGACTCTTTGTCTTCCCCTTGGTATGTTGGTCAGAATCAAAATAGGATTCCTCCAGTTTTCTTTTTTTCCTTTGAGGGGGAGTCTGGTTTGTTTGTAAGAAAAAGGAAACCCTGGCCCTTCTGAGGGTTTGCAGTTTGGGCAGCTTGGTTTTTGCCAATAAGGAATCTTGGAAGCCTTTAATCAATGAAGTCATCTTAACTATGTTTCTCCCCTCATGCCTTTTGCAGGATGCAAAAGAATAAGTTTTTCCATTGTATTCAAAATAGTAAATTACCTGGATACAGACAGTAGTAGTTGACCAAATTTCCTCAAAAACAACCCAGAAAGCCACTCCAGTATTTGTAGGTCGACTTATAGAGGAAAAGCTGAATGTATATTCCATATATTTCTAGTTTGATTACCAAACTTGATGTTATAAAGAAACCTCAGTTCTGTGGACAGAAGTTTGTTTGTTTTTTTTCTACTTCTCAATTATCTTCCTAGTGCCAGCAGCACTTCCCAGTCTTGGAGCAGAGGATTTTCAGTGTAAATAGTGGGGTGCAGTGCATTGATTTCATTACAGGAGGGCATCTGTCCTGAGAGTGCCCCTACCTCCACACAGCCCCAGCACCCTCTGTCAGGCCAGGTGAGACGTTTTCAGTGTTCCTCTTCAGGAGCTCCAGACCAAATCCATGCCATGGAAGTCTTATCATAGGAAGCTTCTTCAGTCTGTTGGGAATGTCTCAGGAAAAAAGAGCCATTTCTTTGGGAGAAGATATATTACAGATGGGTGTGTGCATGTGATCATATTTGTATGCCTGTGTGTATGTGTGCATTCATCTGTATGCATTTTACTTAAAGATTAACACCCCAGGCTGCCGGGACCATGTGTTCCTGAATATTCTAGGAAGAAAAGTAGCAAATGAGCTTCTTGACTTCAAGTCACAGCAAGCGTGCTCTGAGAACAAGCCCTGTTTATAGAGCGGAAGAGTTAACTGCAGAAAAGAGATGAAACCAAAAACAAACCCTTCTGTGAAAAATAATATTGACTCATCAATTCCCATTGGGTATTATGACATGCTCTAATTTATTATATTGTCTGTTTCTTTAAACTTTGCCTGTTGTACTTTTAAGAAGGTGTTAGGATATTGATTGCAATTCTTTAAAACTAGATAGTGTATAAATCTGATGTGGAAATCAGTTTTTAATTGATGTGTGAATGTGTCTGATTATTGTTAAATGCATTTTTTTTTACGTTTTTAGATTTGTAATGTTTCATAAACCATGGCACTGGTGGTAAAGCTCAGCTGTGAAAATAAAACTTGTAGTATTTTTTAACTTGATGTCAATTTCAAGTGCATTTTAAATGGTTTCTTCAGGAGAGAGATTCATTCAAAAGAGAAACTCCTGCAGAGGAAGTAGCCTTCTTTGGAGAAAACAGAAATGTTGTGTTATCTTGGTGTGTTATGGCAGTGTAGCTGTTTCCTAGGGCATCATGGAAAACACAAATGTGATCTTTAAGTAGACCTCTTCTCCAGTTTGAGA